TTCTTCTCGCAGCCTTTTCTTCGCAAGTATCCTCTTCCCCAACACATCCATAACAAGCAGGTTGCGACCGTTTGCGTATGGCTCGGCGAGAAGACCAGTCGCTCTCGCTTGAAGGGTGGTGTCTACGAAAGGGCTCCGTTTCTGAGTGCCCAGACTCTGTCCTAGCCGACTGTCCCGACCGTTTGCGTGTGGCTCTGCGAGGAGACCAGCCGCCTTCTGTTGAGGAGTAGTGTCTACGAAAGGCCTCCTTTTGTAAGTACCCAGACACTATCCCAGGCGGCACTTTGGTACCTGGCCCGGCGCCAATTATACCAGCAGGCGGCTCGGTCTCGGCGCTGGTGCCAGGGAGCCGTCCTCTACGCTGCCTAAGCCCCGCGAGCGCTTCCGATGTCCCGCGACGGGCTGTTCTTCCCTCCTGAAAGAAGGGCGTTGAAGAAGGCGCACCGTCGGCGGCGCCGCCGTCGTCGCCGCGCCCTTCTACGAATATAATAGTCGGTTCTGGAGCAAATTTTACCCTCCTCTGCACTCTGTGCTTGGCGCGCCGGGTGCCCTGAGAATACTTCCTTTCATTTTCTCTGGTGCGGGTGAAACATCATAACTCCCGTAATGTGAAGTTGGCTGTAGTTCCTGAATACTTTCTTTTATGTTCTCTGGTACGGGAAGAACATCATAACTCCCGTAATGTGAAGTTGGCTTAAGTTTCTGTATTGCCTTTAAGGCAAGAGCCCTCGCCCGATCCAAGGAACTTCCTGCTCTGCGTGCCCGCGACCGCGTTACTGGGACCAGGCGACTCGGCACCCCCAGGGTGGCCGGATGCGCCCTCTCTAGGCTCGGAAGACCAGCGGCGTGCACCGCGACGGCGGAGAACAGAAGCAGAGCCATTAGCGTTTCTTCCCCGTTGTTGTTGCTGCTGTTGTTGACCCTTTACCGGCGACGCGTCTCCTTCCCGGCCACTTCCGCCAGTAGCGCTACGACGAACCACCGCGTAAGGGGCCCGGTGCTTCACCGGTAGGATCGCTTCCTTCCAACAACTCTCCTCGCTATCTTCTTCCGACTCTGAAGCTTCCTCCTCGCTGCTTTTGCCGGAACTGGTAGAATCAGACGCCGCTTCTTCCGCTGCCCCGCCACCACTTTGCAGTGTGCTTGCGACCTTCCCTCCGAGCGCCGAGAGGCCTTTCGAGTTTCTAGTCGTCCTAGGAAGCAGAGGCTCGATTTTGTCTCTCTTTGGCGTTGCACAGCTTACCTCCGTGATGCTGCACAAGCCAAGCAGGTGCAGCACTGCTGCTGCTGCGGACAACCACAGAAATGTCCGCATCCTGCGTCCCCAGCGACACGTGCGAAAACAGGGGACTGCCGTGCTGGCATAGAGGTGGTGGAATCCACCAGGTGCTCCAAGCCGCAAGGCCTGAGGGAACTGATGAATTCCCGCTTCCTTCTTCAGATGGGGGGAAGCGCAGCAGCGTGCAGACACCGGTAGAGGATCGTAGTCTGCAGTCTGAGGCGTAAACATTATGGAAGATGCGATATCGTCTAGTCCCTTGAAGTTGCGCGTACTTCTCCGCCCGAACATGAAAAGGAATCGGACGCCAGTGTGCAGCTTGGCGCAGGTAACACGGAATAGCGACCTTCTGCCGCGCGAGTATCGGGCGACGCCGACTCAGTCCTTCCACCGGGACCCCCGGTCCGTCTACTGCTGTAGATGAGCGCTGACGACGCAGCTCCATTGCGCTACGATTTTTCTAAAAAATGATGCCATGAACGACGGTTTGCACCGCTCGGAAGGGCGCACGCCTTGGCGCCCCGTGTCTTGCGGATTATTCGCCTAAAGTCACCCACAAGGATTTCTTCCACGCTGAAAAACGTCGACGCTCACGTGAATTTTCACTGAAACGATATGATCTGATCCAGCTTTTGGTTGCCGCGGGTCCGGCGGCAATTTTGGAGGACGCCCTGGCGCCACCAGCTGGCCACCCCTCTGGGACTGTTGTACCGCGGGGGTCTACTGCATCTGAGGTCTGCAAAAGTAATCGAACTATTACTCGATAGGCAGGTTGTTGGCTGTTGTCCTTTCACATGTGGTGCAGTCTCCGACTTTCGCACACGTGCAACGAGTATCCACACCAGAGCTAAGGATCCGCGCCGACTCCCGTTCGCACCCTGTGAAAACCAGGCCCTTGAATGAGATCTCGACAGCGTGCGCTGCTAGCGCTAGTCGTCTTCAAACCGCCTGCACACCCGGAATCACCCTCCTCAAACCCCGACGGTGGACGTTGTAAGACGTCTGTGCCGGGTGAAAGACGCGGCGCACGAAATGCACGGACATCTGGCGTGTGCCACAGCAAGTAGCCAGAACCCACAGCACAGAACAAAATACGCGTGACAATGGCGCGCAGATGCGGAAAGATATTTGCACCGTCGTCGATCTTCGAGCTGTCGATATGCATAAAAAGCCGAGCCCTACCTTATCACAAAGCTGCACCTAACACAACAAACGTAGCCTCTCGAAGCTACTGTAGAAGCCTATCGGCGGGAAGCGCAGAAGTTGAAACTCCACTATGCGTATACACGTACACATGTATTTATGCATACTATATATGTAGATGCATATACGTATATGTGATGTGTGCACGCGGGCAATCAGACAGGCAGAGGTGTGACTATGAAGACTCCGTAACTCAACACAGTTTCGCCGGAACTCGTAGCACACACTCCACCGAATTTAGCACGATGATCACAACTGAAGAGCGCGTGATCACAAGCATGTGTTTATGTAAATGTACGGGCGCATAGCCACACGTAGGTGTTCGAGGTACAGATGCTGCTACCACCTGGAGACCAGCTGCTCACATACCCGACCGGATGTAGCACGACGATCACCGGTGAAGAACGCGCGATCCAAGACATAAGATTCCGCGAGTGCGAATGATTGTCTGAGCTCATCCTTATGTAAATGTAGGGGCGCATAGCCACATGTAAGTACTTGAAATGCAGGTGATGCTACCACCTGGAGACCAGGTACCCACAGACACATTCAAATGCAGGTGCCCGCATGCACGAGAGCTTAGCACGTCAGCAGGCGTGTGCTACAGTACACATATGCATACCTAGTTGTCTCGACCCCGAGTCGACTGTCGTCTTCGCAGGCTCTACCGTGCAAATTGCACGCGAAAACGTGAGGAGTCTCCGAAATAGTCTTATGGACACTTCAGATAGTCCTGCATGCCGTGTGCAGGCGTGTTCAAGTCATACATACGCATGTTAAGATGGAGCGGTACCCAGCTTGGTACCAACGTCTACATCAGTTCCAAAGATCACTAAAACCAAGCCGTAGCTTTTCCTGTTTGCAGGCACAATTAAGCGTATCTGGCTCTCGCCTAGACGTCAAATCTCTCACCTGTTGTCCGCGGTGTGAGGAATCTTTATAAACGATGCTCCACAGGGTGCAATTATTCACGCACGACGATACCTGCACTTTTCTAAGATATCCGAGTAGTGCTTGATCCCAACTGTATTGGAATTCACACCTTTGTTTATATACGGTTCTGTCTGCACCCCTAGATCACCCGTCACCCCTTTGAATGCATATATATATGTATATATATACAAGCAAACATAGTCAGTGTTGCGGGGAAATCTGCTCATCCTTGATCCAACGTACAGGGAAGAAAGAGGCGACGTGAGCCCCGATCTGACGAGTGCTCTACACTTGTGCAGCTTCGAGATGCTCGTGCAGACAACTCGATTAGCTGGCACGATGAGTTCACATGAGAATTCTTCTAGCTGGCAAAGTGTTCACGCAGAAATCCGTCTCATCTCACGGGCCAGGGGAGACTCGAAAGGGAGTGGATCACCGGGAGTCACAAACATCTAGCGAAATCCACGACGCGTCACAAACCACGGAGCGACGATAGAACTCCTCCCCACATCACGTATCACAACTCCTGATTCAAAAGAACGGCCTCTGTTGTCTTCGGTTCCGTGGAACGAGAGCGCACGCCTTCTTCACGCGCGCAAAAGACAAGAAGTTAGAAGTGGAGGTGTGATGCTGTCCCGTTCCTCCCCGCTCCGCCTGTCCCACGTGCCCCTTTGCTAGCTTGATTTCCAGAGACGTCTGGCAGGCGGTCTGGTAGGTAGCGGGTTACAGGAACTAGCCAGCTTGGGGCTCTCTCTCCCGCTGCTAGCAGGTTGCAAGCACCTTAGCGAGCTTGTGGCTGTTCCTCACGCTCCTCTCTAAGTCCTAGTACAAATCCCGTCGCTTCTCTCGCCTTCCTCGCCGGCGGCGGCTACATCCCGCAGGTACCCGCCAACTCTCCCCCAGGGCGCCGTGCGCGTCTCTATTCCCGGTACACAGACGATTGTATGTGAGCAGCTGCAGCCTTGCCTGCTAATACCCACCAAACGACTGATGTTAGTAGCAGAAGTATTGCCAGCCGCCGCGGCCACGACCGCCTCAATAATAGAGTGCTACCATCGAGCAGAAGTGTTGTCAGCCGCCCCGGCCACCGCCTCAATAAGAGAGCATGACGGTCGCTTGACGCTTCCGCTGCTGCTGCACTGGCGCGCGTCTCACTGTCCCTCCCTACTCTGCTGTGTTCTTCCTTCGCGCTGGCTGTGGCCGTACTCTGTTCTGCTGTTCCTTAGCGCTGTGGCCGTGGCCGCGGTGGCCGTGGACCTATTAGTAGGTAGGCGTGTGCGGCTGGGGACCCGCCTGCCCGGAAGTGTGCGAGAAGAGCGCTCAACAGCTCTCTCTGCTCCGTGCCCAGCATTCCACCGATCCAGTCCCTATTTTTTTGTCCTATTCTGCTCTTCTTTTGCCCTGTGGCCGTGACCGCGTGTCCGTGGACTTAGTAGTAGGTACGCGTGTGCGGGGCTGGGAGCTGGGAACCCGCCCGCCAGGAAGTGTGCAAGAAGTGCGCTCAACAACTCTTCATGCACAGCATGTAAATAAGAGTACACGCGTTCATTATAGGGCTGGTTGTAAAGTTTCTCCCGCCCTTCTGCTAGAGGCACGAACACCACTTCTCGAGTGTACGTAAGCCACGGTGGCTGCCGAGGTCAGGTGTCTCCACTAGGACTGCTGTTTCTTCCAGCGGTGCTGATGAAGCTACCACACCTACCACGCCCGGGTGCGAGGTAGGTGGACTCACTGGGCAGGAAGTACGAGAAAAATTTCAGTTTATACAGACGCATGATGAGGATCCCAACTACGTTACGCAAGAATACCGGAGACTGTTCGCATGCCAGACCACCTATGCAATAGCAACCGGCGAAGCCAGGAGCCGATCCGCAGCTCTGACGCTTCACATTTGACTGGCACTGGTAAGGACACCCTACCGCGCCCGTTTTAGCCCGTCAGACGGGAAAATTCCACCGCTGAGCCCGAGTCATAAGAAATAGATAATAGTAAGCGCCGTTCGCTCACTGGTCACACAGCTGGATCAGAGTCTGGCTGTCACCATATACAGCCAAATTCTGCACTTCTTTATTTTATTCAGGCGACCTCTATTCGCGTCGTCAGCTCGCGGACAGTCGTCACAGATGTGCCTTTTTCCGCGACACGCTGAAACAATCACAGTCTGCCACAGTCTCCGTGCAAAACCGAGTTGCCATGATCGGACGACGCCGATTCGTGCGTCCTCCTCATCCCCGTGCCCTCCGAGATAAACGTCAGCGTCCGTCCTTGCGTGACGTGCAGATAACGTTGACGTCCCTGTCGCACGTGAAAAAACACAAATATGAATCCTGAGCGCTTCGCCCTCCCGCCACTACGGAAAAAAGGACCGTGCGCCCGCGAACGCCGTCAACCAAAATAGTCAATACTCTGCTCTTGACGCGGACACATAGCTGCATGCGGACATGTCCAAGCACGCGCGCGTCAATACGCCCCTTCCTAGCTGATGAACCAAAACCGCATTCATATGTGCAGGTACGTCCCGCTCATGGGTATCAAACCTACAGCAGGAAACGTTTCAGGCGTTGACCGTCTGCTACAGCAGGCAAATTCCCTTATGTTGAAGGAAAAATCGGCCAGCACGGATAACAATTATGTCAAACATTTCCTCAGGACCCGCTGCTGTCTGCAGGAAAGAAAATCTACGGCGCCGAGTAAGAAGAAAATGAATGCCGAGCTGCTTTCACGCAGTCCCAAGGGGGCGAGCGATTGTACTCCTGGCGTCCCCCCCCCCCAATTAGACGACACAGAACTTCAGAAGCGCCTGAACTAGTCATGGTGCTCAGCGTCTCACATGGCCGTGTCCTCATAGCGACCTATTCTTCTCATGATTCGTGTCGCTTTCTCCTGCCGGGTTAAACCGCCTTGATAAGTTCAGAAGGCTGTTACGTGATGTTCGTGTCCCCGTTTCGCTTCCTCTTTCGGTCCAGCCGGTTGAGCTGCGTTTCACGCGTGCGTGCGCGTGCATCCGCTGCGGATAGGGAGACAGCCTCATTCTATCATCTGCTAGCGTTCCCATCATGATTTTAGGGTATGAGACGTGCGTGCAAGCGCGTCGCCAAAACCGAGCGCCATGTTCTTCCGCCTTTCCTATTTGTATACCCAGCAGTTTCTTGGAATGTTTGATCTCGACGGCGGCGCTGTTGGCTGCCGCGATTCTGCCGAGGCAGTCGCACGCAGCACCCACAGGTGAGGCTTCCTAGTTCCTCTCTGTGGGTAAGCTGTCACTCCTCCTTCCCTGCTCCCAAAACATGATATATACAGCTTTCGTCCTCTAACAGCCTGCAGGAAGCCATACTGCGATTTCACTCTCCATAATGTTTGTCCCGACTATCAGCATCCAAAACTCCGTCATGACGGCTGTGCTTCACAAAGATGCATAACTACCAGTAAACGTGCTCAAAACTGCGCCTCTGAAGGACACGCAGCTACTCGCACCGTCTGCTCCTCTAATCCATCTCTTTCGCCAGAAAATAAAACTACCACCCTCAGAGTCCAAAAGACTGTAACAGCTCTCCAGATGTCTCGCAAACTCCTGGGATCCGACTAGAATTTTGGACGGCGCCCATGACCTCTTCGCATCCTGTCTGTGGCGTGGGCGCTCCGGTGAGCAGAGCGCATACCGCGACGTTCCTCGTTCACGGTCTATGTCCCGACTCTCTGCATCCAGTTACTCGTACCCGCGCAGGCTAAGGAACTGTGACACCTTTGCACATATCCCGCTAATGGTTAGCATCCGGTCAAATTCCTGAACGCCGCGATGACCTCTGCGCACCCTCTCTGTGGCTTCCGCACTCCCGTGAGCAAGTGTTGATGCTTCAGCTGTAGTACCTTCGCCCGGTAGGCTGGAGACGCATCCCCCCGTATACACCCCTTATCATCATTTACCCAGACACGTCATGGGGCGACGTGATAAAGCGGTAAACGAAGACAATTACTGTGCATCGTGTATCTCTTCTTTTTTCCTGAAGCCTTTTTCAAGATATCCTCCTCACCAGCAGTCCTGAGAGCGAGCTGATAAAGCGGTAAGTAAGAGGACTGCAGTGCATCACCATCTATAATTTCTTTCTTCTCGCAGCCTTTTCTTCGCAAGTATCCTCTTCCCCAACTCATTTATAACGAGCAGGTTGCGACCGTTTGCGTATGGCTCTGCGAAAAGACCATTCGCTCTCGCTTGAAGGGTGGTGTCTACGAAAAGGCTCCATTTCTGAGTGCCCAGACTCTGCCCCAGCCGACTGTCCCGACCGTTTGCGCATGGGTTTGCGAGGAGACCAGCCGCCTTCTTCTGAAGGGTAGTGTCTACGAAAGGGCTCCGTGTCTGAGTGCCAAGACACTGTCCCACCCAACGGCAGTTCGACATCTGGCCCGGCGCCTTCATCCGTTGAAGACGAGGCAGCGCCGACAGCGCCACCAACGTCGCAAGCCCTTCTTCGCCGAATATAGTCGGTTCTTCAGCAAATCTTACACTCCGTGGCACTCTGTACCTCGGCGCGCCAGGGTGCTTGAGAATACCTCCTTTTATTCTCGCTGGTGCGGGAGCAACGTCATAGCTCCCGTGCTGTGAAGCAGAGTGTAGTTTCTGTATTGTCCTAGAGGCAAGAGCCTTCGCTTCAGCAAGAGGACTCTCTGATCTGCTGCGTGCCTGCGACCGAATTACTGGACCAGACGACTCGGGACCCCAGGGTGACCAGATGCGCCCTCTCTAGGCTCGAAACGCCAGCGGCGTGCACCTTGACGGCGAAAAGGAGAAGAAGAGTCACCAGGGCTTCTTTCCCGTTGTTGCTGCTGCTGTTGTTGACCGCTTACGCTGAGATCGCTTTTTTCCAACGATTCTTCCTCGCTATCTTCTTCCGACTCTGAGAATTCTTCCTCGCTACTTTCGCCGGAACTGGTAGAATCAGACGCCGCTTCTTCCGCTGCCTGGTCATCTCTTTGCAGTGTTCCTTCAGTTTTCGTTCCGAGCGCCGAGAGGCTTTCAAGCTTGTAGCCGTTCTACGAAGTAGAGGCTGAGTTTCGTCTCTCTCTGATGTTGCACAGCTTACCTCCGTGATGCTGCACAAGCCAAGCAGGTGCAGCAGTGCTGCTGCTGGCGGACAACCACAGAAATGTACGCATCCTGCGTTCCAGCGACACGTGCGAACACAGGGGGACTGCCGTGCTGACATACAGCTGGTGAAATCCACCAGGTGCTCCACGCCGCAAGGCTTGAGGGGACTGATGAATTCCTCGCTTCCCTTCCTCAGGTGGTGGAGAGCGCAGCAGCGAGCGCGTACTACTCGCACCCGAACATGAAAAGGAATCGGACGCCAGCGTGCAGCTCGCCGCAGCAACGCAGCACAGCGACCTGCTGCAGTGCGAGTACCGGGGCAGACCAACTCCAGTCCCTTCACCGGAACCCCCGGTCCGTATACTGCTGTAAATGACCGCTGACAACGCAGCTCTACTACACTACGATTCTTAGATAAGTTGATGCCGTACACGGCGGCCTGCACCGCTCGGAAGGGCGTACGCCTTGGCTCCCGGTGAAGAGGGAACGAGAGCCCTTTTTACGTATAATGAAGGTGTGTCTTGCGCACTATTCGCCTTGAAGACACGCACGAGAATCTCTTCCAATCTAAAAAAGCCAACGCTCACGAAGGATATGATCCGATCCGGCTTTTAGTTGCTGCGGGTCCGGCCGCACTTTCAGAGGACACCCTGGCGCCAACAGCTGGCCATCCCCTCTGAGGCTGTTGTAACACGAGGGTCTACTGCATCTAAAGCCTGCAAAAAGAGTCAAACACACTCGATGAGCAGGATGTTGGATGTTGGCTTTTCACCTGTGGTGCAGATTCCGACTTGCACACACGCTAGCAACGAGTATCCACATCAGACATAAGGATCCACGCCGACTTCAGTTCCCCTCCTGCTAGTAAAAACTAGTCGCCCGTTGAATGAGACCTCAAGAGCCTGCGCTGCTAGCGCTAGTCGTCTTCAGAGCGCCTGCGCACTGGGAACCGTACTCCTCAACCCACAGTGGTGGACGTTGTAAGACGCCTATGCAGGGTGAAAGACGCGGCTGACTAGGAAGGAGAACGAGGGCGAAGCAGCAACTGCAGCAGTTTGGACGCTAGGCACGGGAATCTGAAGAGACAGCAGAGGCAAAAAGAGGCACCGTGTTGGTAGCGTTTCTTGCGTAAAGGTTCACGCATCTAACATTTCAACCCCCTACCATCCGAGACCCACAGCCATGCTCATGCCCGAAAGGGACGATTATCGGGTACGTCCTGCGGCTCACAAAACTAAGATTCCTTCTACGAGTACACAGAAGATCCACACAAGCTCTGGACGCAAACAGTGCTGCTACCCGTTCCTAGAACGTCGCTAGACGCGGACATATATTTCTTTAAGGCGCATGCGACAGCCAAGCAATCGGAACTCTCAGCACATAACAAAATCTTCGTGACAACGGCGCGCAGATGAGGAATGACGTTGCGCCGTCGTCGATCTTCGAGCTGTTAATATGCATAAAAAGTAGAGCCCTACCTTGTCACAGAGCTGCATCTCACACGACAAACGCAGCCTCTCAGAGCTACAGTAAACCGCTATCGGCATGAAGAGTGGATGTTGAGACTCGACTATGCGTATATACGCATGCACGTATTTATACATATATATATATATATATATATATACACGTATATGTAATGTGTGCGCGCGGGCAATCACACAGGCAGACGTGTGGCTATGAAAACCCGTAGCCCAACAAACTTCTGTCGGAACTTGTAGCACAGACTCTACCGGATGCAGCACGACGACCACAAGTGAAGAGCGCGTGCTCAAAAACGTGTGTGTATGTAAATGTACGGGCGTATAGCCACACGTAGGTATTCGAGGTACAGATGCTGCTACCTTCTGGAGACCAGCTGCTCACCCGACCGGATGTAGCACGACGAGCACCGGTGAAGAGCGCGTGATCAAATACGTAAGTTCCGCGAGTGCAAGTGATTGTCTGAGCTCCTTATCATGTAAATGTAGGGGCGCATAGCCACATGTAAGTATTTGAAATGCAGATGATGCTACCACCTGGAGACCAGGTACCCACAGACACATTCATTCGCAAACGCCTGCATGTGCGAGAGCTTAGCACGTCAGTAGGTGTGTGGTAGAGTACACATATGCCTACTGGGTTGTGTCGACGCCGAGTCGACTGTCGTCTTCGCAGACTCTACGGCGATAATTGCACGCGAAAATGTGGGGAGTCTCCGAAATAGTCTTATGGACACTTCAAGTAGTTCTGCAGTGTACATTTGTGGTCCAGTCAGTCATACGCACGTCAAGACGTAACGGTATCCGGGTTGGTACCTATGCTTACATCAGTTCAGAAAAACCACTACGCGAAGCCGTAGCTTTTCCTTCTAGCAAGGGCAATCAAGCGTATCTGCCCCCCACCGAGCCGTCAAATCTGTCACCTGCCGTCCAAGCTGTGAAGGATTACCACAAAAAGTCCTTCACAGCGTGCAATTATTCAGGCATGACGATACCTGTACTTCTCTGCGATGTTGAACTAGTGTTTGATCCCAGCTGTCTTGAAATCCATACATTCGTTGATATACGGTCCTGTATGCACCGCTTGACCACACGTCACCCCTATATATGTATATACATATATACTAGCAGACTTAGTCAGTGTTGGACGGAAACCTGCGCATCCCGGCTCCAACGTACCAGGACAGAACGACGCGACGCGAGCCCCGATTTGACGATTGCTCTACACTCGTGCAGCGTCGATATGCTTGTGCAGAGAATGCGACTTGCTGGCACGATGCGTTCACGGGAGAGTTCGACTAGCTGGCAAAATGTTGGCTCAAGAATTCGTCTCGCGGGCCACGGCAAGACTCGAAAGTGAGTGGATCACCGACAGTCACGAGCCTCTAGCGAAATCGACGACGCGTCGATAGGACTCCTCGCTATATCACATATCACGACTTCTGACTCAAAGTAACAACCTCTGTTGTCCTCGTTTCCGTGGAACAAGAGAGTTCATAGGGGAAGATAGGCACGTCTTTTTCACGCGCGCAAAAAACAGGAAGTTCTGAAGTGGTGTGACGCTGTCTGGTTCCTCCCGGCTCCGTCGGTCCCAAGTGCCGCTTTGGTAGCTTGAGTTCCAGAGACGTCAGGCAGGCGGTCTAGTAGCGGGTTACAGGAACTAGTCATCTTTTGGCTCTACCTCACTCTGCTAGCCGGTTGGAAGCATTTTATCCAGCTTGTGGTGGATCCTCACGCTGCTGTCTGACTCCCTAGTACAAATCCCGTCGCTTCTCTCGCCTTCCTCGCCAGCGGCGGCTACATCCTGCTGATACCCGACCACTATTTCGCCCGGGGCGCCGCGCACGTCTCTATTACCAGCACACAAGCAATCGTATGTAAGCAGCTGCAGCCTTGCCTGCTAATACCCACGAAACAACTGATGTTAGTTGCAGAAGTATTGCCAGCCGCCGCGGCCACGACCGCCTCAATATTAGAGTGTGACCATCGAGCAGAAGTGTTTTCAGCCGCCCCAGCCACCGCGTCAATAAGAGAGGGTGGCGGTCGCTTGCCGCTTCCGCTGCTGCTGCTGCGCCGGTGCGCGTCTCGATGTCGCTCCCTACTCTGGTCTATTCTTCCTTCGCGCTGGGGCAGTGCGTACCCTTCTCTGCTCTTCCTTCGCGCTGTGGCCGTGGCAGTGGCGGCCGTGGACGCAGTACTGGATAGGCTTGTGCGGCTGGGGACCCGCCTGCTCGGAAGTGTGCGAGAAGCGCGCTCAACAGCCCTCCATGCTCAGTGCCCAGCATTCTACCGATCCGGCCCCTACACTTCTGTTCTATTCTGCTTCCTTGGCCTTACGGCGGTGGCCATGGCCGTGGACGTAGTAGTAGGTAGGCGTTGTGCGGGGCTAGAAGCGGGGAGCCCGCCCGCCGGGAGGTGTGTGAGAAGCACGCTTAACAACTCTTCATGCACAGCATCCTTACCCGGAGGTAGCACGTGCGGGTGCGTGCCTGCGTTTTGAGTGCCCAGCGTTATTCTACCGATCCAAGGCCTGGTGCCCGTGGTAGGCTTGTGCTGAAAAATAGTACTACTACGACAAAGACTTTAACAAAACAGTAGTATCTGTGCTCCAGTAGCGGCTTTTTCTTTTTTTTCTTCTTCTTTCGCCGGAGGTGCGCGCGCCTCGACAGCTCCCCATGCACAGCGCCCGGCATTGTTTCATTGATCTAGGGCCTGGCGCCCGTGGTAGGCTCGTTCGATTCTAGTGATCGTGGGCCTGGTGCCGTGGTAGATCTGTTGTGTTGAAGGAGGGGTCCGCGCGCTCTTTCGCGGTGTACGCACAGCGAGGAAGTAGAGCACACGTGGCGCAGACGGGAGACAATACTACGGCAACGAATACTACAATAAGTAGTAGCTTCTGTGCTCCATTAACGGTTTTATTTGTCTTTTCTTCTCCTCTTTCGCCCGGAACTCCGGAGAGCGCTCTTCTGCGGTGTACGTACAGCGTGGAACGGCGTCCGACACATTCGGCGCAGACGGAAAATATTATTGCGACGACGAAGACTACAATGGTAGTAATGCCGGCAGTTTCTGTGCTCCAGTAACGGCTCTTTTCATTCTATTCTCCTTCTTCTTCTTCTTCTTCTCCTTCTTCTTCTTCTGCTTCTTTCGTCCGAAAGTGTGCGCGCCTCATCAACTCCCCAGGCACAGTGCCCAGCATTATTCTACAGATCCAGGGCCTGCTTCCGTGGTGTAAGCTACTTCGATTCTACCAATCCAGGGCTTGCCTGGTGCCCGTGGTGGTAAACTTGTTCCATTCTACCGGTTCAAGGTTTGCCTGGTGCCCGTGGTAAACTTGTTCGATTCTGTCGATCTAGGCAGGCGTGGTCTCCGTGGTAGACTTGTTGCGTTGTTGGAGGGTTCGGCGGCGTGGACGTACGGCATATTCGGCGCGGACGAGCACTGCTACGACGACAAAGACAACCCTAACAGCAGCAGTTGCTGTGCTCCAGTTACGGCTTCGCCTTCCTTTTCACCGGCGCGGAAGTGTGCGAAGGGCTGCGTTGTTCGTACTGCCTGGACGGACGGACGACGCACCTGGCACAGGCGCATAATACTACGACGACACACACTACAATGCTCGTATTGTCAGCACTTTCTGTGCTTCAGCAACGGCTTTGTCATTCTTTTCTGCTTCTTTCGCCCGCAAGTGTGCGAAAAGCGCTCTTCTGCGGTCTAGGTACAGGGAGGACAGACGTACGGCACATCCGGCATAACATAACGACGAAACAAGCCACAATGACAGCAGGGAATTCTGTGCTTGAGAACGGTTTTTGCGGTTTTATTCCTTCCCTCTCTTTCCTTCTTCTTCTCCCTCTGCTTCTGCACAAGGTTTGATTATTGGACACATCGTTTTCTGCGAGAAACTGAGCGGAGAAGGTGGAGAGAGTGACCATGAGCGAGCGTAAGGCGCGCTGGCGGGCGGCGCCGCCGCCTCCGACGCCGCTGGCGGGCTCCGACCGCAAGACACCCACCTTCCTCTGGCTCCATTCGGATAAGTTTACGGCGGTTCCGCTGCAGTCGAAGCAGAAGGACGAATTTTCTTGTTAGGTGTCATTCAAATTCGGAACATGGGCTGCTATGCTCTAGCCTTCTGGCACGCCTTCCTCGCGCAAGTTCCACTTCCCGCAAGACACCCCCCTCCTACCGGCCGTTTTGAAAAATTCACCGCAGTTTTCGTGCGAGTCGAAGTAAAATCGGCTCTACTCCGGAAAAGTGCCTGCAGCCTCCTCCGGAGTCGAAGTGAAACAGCGAGTTTCTTCTATTAGGTGCCATTTGGAGTGGATATTTGGGCTGCTGTGCGCTAGCCTCCTCGCACTCTGCTTCTATTTCGGCAGATCTACTGCAGTTTTCGCCAGAGTTGACATAAAAAAGCGAGTTTCCGTGTTTAGGCGTCATTTATAGTCGCTATGGGCTGCTGTGCGTTGGCCTCCTAGCACAACTTCGACTTCTTCCTCTGCCCTCTAAATCGTAGAGGAGGCGCGGCCGATCGTCATGGGGACGGGCAGGAGGAATTTCTCTGTCCATACACTGGTGCAGCAGAGCAGAGCTGCACTCTATTTCCTCAGGAGCAACTGAGTTTACTTTGCTTCTTCACATTCTGCTTCTAGGCGAAACGAGGCAACAGGTACATCCTACAGCAGAGGAAGAAGTGGCAGGTGTGATTTTCTGGTCCTATAACGTTGGGAGGGGCACGAACTGCGAGGCCCTGCCCCCGGGAACCGTAAAGGCTACCGTGGACGATAAACAGCCTCAAACACGAAAAACTAAAAACACAAGAACACTAGTGGGATTGCCTGCCCCGTGTAGCCCTTTTCACGGAGACGGGGGGACTCTCTGCCGCTTCCGAGAGAGAAGGATTCTAAGCGGCTGCACATTAAAAGCTCTAGCACACATACGTATATATATATGTGTATATGTATCAGCTGCGATGACTTTTTTTCTGAATTCGTGATTTCCCCAGTGTGTGGCCTTTCTTTGGTGAAATGGGATTGTGTGTAACCTGCTGGCGCCGTTCACAGACGGAGTCCTTTCCCTCCCGTACAGCCGCGCAAAGCGCTACTTCTCTTCTACAGGTCTTCCCAGAACGAAGTGCGTACTTCAGTTCCTCTGCAGTACTCAGATGTGAAGAAATATGCTTGTGTCAGAAGGCGACTTTCTCTTGCCTCGAGTGGGTGCATATAATGTCTTCACCTAGGACGGCAGGGTGGAACGGGTATGCGTGGTACTTCCGTTGCTATTTGTGGACTCTACCATATGGAGGAGTACTTTTTTCCAGGTAGCCCTGAGTTAGACTGTCCCAGCCAGCTTCAGTTCTTCAAAATTTTGCCTTTCTTCATGTCTGTACTTCTCGTGAGTCTACTCCCAGTGCTATCTGTGGACTGAATGATACGCAGGAGTTCCACTCCCTAATCTTTCACACTTTAACTTTCCCGGCCAGCTTCGCTTCCTCAGAACTTTACCTTTCCTTATATTTATACTTTTGTGGGTCTCTGCTCTTGATTTGTTCTGCAGCTCCGCCAGCGAGTCCGGGAATGTGGCGAGCTGCTGCTCAGAGGCGCAACACCGCAGCGACTGACACATGCGCCATCTGCCTCTATGTGTTGCTTTGGCATCATTTGCTTGTTTTTGTTTGTAAATGAATGATTTCAAAGGTTCACATACCTCGGATCAAATGAAGCCCCCACAGCAAACCGTATACATGCATATACATATACATCTATGTATATAGCTTCTCAATGTCGTGTTGCCGCTGCTGCGCGTGAATGGCTGCTGCATACATATATATACATATATGCACAAGTATGTAGGGAAATTAGTATATTTATTTTGGTTTTTCTGCCTCTGTATGTGGGTGTGGGTGAGGAAGCATCTTCGTGTGATTCCTACGCAGAGCCGCTGAAATCCAGCCGTTGCACAAGGAACTAGACGACAACACAGTATGCAAGGAGATCTATGTTTGTCTCGCCTCGGCCTCCCACGTTCTCTCTTTACTCTCTGGATTTGCTACAAAAAAGGGCCATACCTTCCTGCTACGAAAGTTCCGGCAACTGGTTACACTGGCGAAGCCTGACTTTTTAAAACATAGCAGCAGCTCGAAATAGACGCTCGGCGCTTCCTTTTTCCACGCGACTACTTTCGTGTCTCGCTCAAGAGGAGAAACATGCACATAGAAAACCCCGTTACTTGCACGTACGTCTGAATTCCGAGAACGTCATAGATACAGGGGAGAAGGAGATGCTCATACATGCCTCTCCAAGCAGGGAGACGTATATATATATACAGATATATATACATATATATATATATACATATATGTATATATACATATATATATATATACATATATATATATATATACATAAACATGTATATACATATATATATATATATATCTGTATATATGATACGTTCATATATATCTGCATATATATATATATATATATATATATATATATATATAAATGTATTCGCAGAGCAAGGGGCAGTAGAGATCGGTGCACCCGTGTCTTCCACAAGTTTTGCCACACTTCGGGAAATACGTGTCTGTTTTCTTCACCGCTTTGTTTTCGCTGGCGTGGCTGACAGGTGCCTGCGACTGTTTGTAGCCGTACGCAGGCATAAATGGACGATTTCCCCCCCAAGGAGATGCACACTTCTATCTACGAGTCTCTTCGTAGATTCCATGAAAATGGAAAAATAGTAGTGGATGTTGTGTCACTCTTCTTCTCTTACGTCTTGTCATTCTCTCTAAGTATATGGATTTCTGTTTTCTTCCTTCACCGCACTTGTTTTCCAATCTGAGCACATTCGTAATATATATATATATACATATATACATGTATACATACGCGTATGCGTATACCTGTGTATATACCCACATATATGTATATATGTATATATACACGTAGCATATATATACATATATATACACATGTATGTAGTACATATATATATATAATATATATATATATATATATATATATATATATATATATATATATATGTAGGCACATGCACCACACATAATGCCGTTTGCTAGCTGGGATACGCTTGTGTGCCCTGGTTCGATTTGTCTACCTGTCGAACGCACACGGCGTAAACACTCGCTTATATGGATCTATGTATGTATGTCTGTTTGTATGTATGTATGTACGTATGTATGTGTGTATATAAATGTATACGTGATAAAGTGTACGCTGGCGTATGTATAGGAAATCATGTACACATCTGTGTCCATATCTAGGTGTGTGCCTCTCTTTGATACGTATATATATATATGTCTACACAAATATATATATATATATACATATATATATATGTCGGTATATGTATACGCATACGTTACAATCATGTGTGTGTCTACACTCGTACTTATTCGCGAGCAGCTCTGTCTTTCAGCAGCTGCTTCAGGCTTTTTTTCTTATCTTCGTCGACAGGTGCAGACGTGGGGGTAGCGCACCAGACATCGTGAACATATCTATCTTTTTCTTCTTTTTCTTCTTCTTCTTCTTCATTGCTGTCCCTTATCGGTATATTCCTTGTTTTTCTTCTTGTCTTCCGAATTCTCTTTCGTCTGCTTCTTCCACGTGGGAGTGTCCTTCTTCTTCTGCTTCTTCGTCTTCCTTTTCTTCTTTTTTTTCTTTTTCTTCTTCTTCTTCTTCTTCTTCTCCTTCTTCTTCTTCTTCTTCTTCTTCAGCTTCTTGTTTCTTCTTCCTTTTGTTCTTCTTCTTTTTCTTCTTCCTCTGTTTCCTCTGTTTTCATTCTTCCAGGTGCTGCTCCTAGTGCGGCTACTTCTTCTTTTTCTCCTTCTTTTTCTTTTTTTTTCTCCTTCTTCTTTTTCTTCTTTTTCGTTTTCCTACTTTCCTTCTTCTCTCCCTCCTCTCCATTCTGTAACTGCCTCTGATTTCTTGCTGCAGCCGTTGCTGATGGCTGGTAGGCAGATTTTCCCGCGAAGCAGTGATGCGGTGGCTGCTGCTGCTGCTCCGCTTTTGCTGCGGCCCCCGCGTTTGCTGCTGCTCCCGTTTTTGCTGCTGCCCCTGCTGCTGCTGCTCCAGCTGCTGGTGCTCCAGCTGCTGCTGCTGCTGCTGCTGCTTATCGTGCTACAGATGCTGAATATTCTGCATATCCTTCTCTGCATCTCTCCTTCCCCAGTCTTCTTCTTTTTCGTCTTTTTCTTCTTCTCCTCCCGCCTTTACAGAAGCACCAGAGACAGCAGCAGCAGCAGCAGCTTCTTATCCTTCAGCAGCTGTAGCATCGAGAGCACCATCATTTCACTCTTCTTCTCTCCTTCTTCTTGGTCTTCCTCTTCTTCTTCTTCTTCTTCTTCTACTTCTACTTCTTCTTCTTCTTCTTCTTCTTCTGCTTTTCGTGTGCCTCCTCCCTCTTCCTCTTTCTCCCCGTTTCCATCATCACCTTCATCATCTTCTTCTCCTTATCCTTATCCTTCTTCTTCTTCTTCTTCTTCATCCCCCTTTTCCTTATCCTCCTTCTTCTTCTTCTTCTTCTTCTTCCCCTTTTCCTTTCCCTTCTTCTTCTTCTTCTTCTTCCGCTTTTCCTCCTCCTTCTTCTTCTTCTTCTTTTTCTTCATCTTCTTGTTCTTCTTCTTCATCTTCTTCTCCGTCGTTCTTTTCTGAGAGTTTGTTTGGAGAGGAGGAAGGGCGTATCGCAGGTGCAGCAGACGGGAGAGGAAGAAGAGGAGGAAGAGGAGAAGAAGAAAAAGAAGAAGAATACGAAGATGTAGACATATCCACCACTCTCTTCTCTTCGAAGGAATTTCACCATATCATCACAAACTACATCTACTCCCATACAACTAGTATTGCTGCTTTACGTACCTTTGTCTGTGCTGCTGTACACCTGCCTCTTCCTCCTTCTTCCTCTTCTTCTTCTTCTTCTCTTCTTCTTCTTCTTCTCCTTCTTCTTCTTCTTCTTTTTCTTCTTCGTCTTCTTCTTCTTCTCCGTTCTTTTCTGGTTTGCCCCACACACCTTACCACCAACAACAGCAACTGCAGCAGCCTCAACACCAACTGCACCAGCAACAGCAGCAGCAGCTGCAGCAACAACAGCAGCAGCAGCAACAGCAGCAGCAGCAACAGCAGCAGCAGCAGCAACAGCAGCAGCAGCAGCAGCAACAGCAGCAGCAGCAGAGTAATCTTGAGCCATTAGGAGCACGTATACGAAGCGTTCCTTTTGAGTTAGACGTCCTCTCTCTTTTTAATTTTTCTTCTGTTGCTGGTGCTGCCCTACTTCAAGCAACACCCACAGCTCTTCATATTCTCGAAAAAGAAGTATTACCTTCCATATGCGAAGCATTACTGCTGGAGCTGCAGCAGCAGAGGAGACAACAGCAGCAGCAGCTAGCACCAGCAACAACAGCAGCAGCTCCTACAACAGCAGCAGCAGCTCCTGCAACAGCAGCAGCAGCTCCTACAACAGCAGCAGCAGCTGCAACAGCAGCAGCACGCGGCTGCAGCAGCAGCAGCAGCGGCAGCAGCAGCGGCAGCAGCAGCGTTGGGGAGAAGAAGAAGAAGAGGAAAATGGAGCAGACGAAGAACAGCAACAGCTTCAGCAGCAGCTGCAGCAGCAGGAGGAGTTGCTGCAGTGGCAATTGCAGCAGCTGCAGCAGCAGCAGCAGTTGCAGCAGCAGCAGCAGGCGCAGCAGCAGCAGCAGCAGACAGCGGAAGAAGCGGAAGAGCAAGTGCTGTTGCAGGCAGCTCCACAGTTGATTGTTCGTCTTGTACATCTCCCACGTGATCTGCAGATGGAAAGAGCAGCAGCGAGGTATCCGTGTTGTTCTTATTCCTTCTTTTTGTTGTAGTCGATTTATATATAACTTGCTCTCCACATATACGTAGACATAAACATATATATATATATATATATATATGTGTATATATGTACGTATATGTGTAGGTATATATATGTATGTATATATGTGTAAAGAGCAGCAGCGAGGTATCCGTATTATTTATCTTATCTCTTCCTTCTATTGTATTCTATTCCTATAAAACTTGCTCTTTATATATACCTGGACATAGACATATATATATATGTATATTTATATATATATATATATATATATACCTATGTGTAGGTGTATATATGTATGTATATTAGTTCGTCTGGTACATCTTCCGCGTGATCCACAGATAAAAAGAGCAGCAGCGAGGTATCCGTATATATCTTATTTCTTCTTTCTATTGTATTCCGTATATACCTGGACATATATATATGTATATGTATAAATATATATGTGTAGGTGTATACATGTAAGTATATTTGTTAGTCTCGTACATCTCTCGCGTGATCTGCAGATGAAAAGAGCAGCAGCAAGGTATCCGTATTTATCTTCTTTCTTCTTTCTATTGTATTCCGTCTATACCTGGACATATCTGTATATATATATATATGTATATATATATATATATATGTGTAGGTGTATATATGTATGTATGTTTGTTCGTCTCGTACATCTCCCGCGTGATCTGCAGATTGAAGGAGCAGCAGCGAGGTATCCGTGTTCTTCTTATTTCTTCTCTGTATTGTATTCTATTCCTATAAAGCCTGTTCTGCATATATACCTAGACATAAACATATATATATATATATATGTATAATTATATAAATGTCTGTATATATGTATAAAGAGCCGCAGCGACGTATCTGTGTTCCTCTTATTTCTTCTTTTTAGTGTATTCTGTCCCTATAGAACTTGCTCTCCATATATACCTGGGCATATATATATATATATATGTATATGTGTAGGTGTATATATGTATGTATATTTGTTCGTCTCGTACATCTCCCGCGTGATCTGCAGATGGAAAGGGCACCACCGAGGTGTCCGTATACATCATATTTCTTCTTTCTATTGTATTCCGTATATACCTGGACATATATATATATATATATACACACATGTAGATATGTGTGTAGGTGTATATATGTATGCATATCTGTTCGTCTCGTACATCTCCCGCGTGATCTGCAGATGGACAGAGCACCGCCGAGGTATCCGTATACATCATATTTCTTCTTTCTATTGTATTCCGTATATACCTGGACATATATATATATATATATATATATATATATATATATATATATGCATATATATATACACATATATATCTGTGTGTAGGTGTATATATGTATGCATATCTGTTCGTCTCGTATATCTCCCGCGTGATCTGCAGATGGAAAGAGCACCACCGAGGTATCCGTATATATCATATTTCTTCTTTCTATTGTATTGCGAATATACCTGGACATATATATACATATATATATATATATATATATATATATATATATGTATACATATATATATATATATATACATATATGTATGTGTGTAGGTGTATGTATGTATGCATATCTGTTCGTCTCGTACATCTCCCGCGTGATCTGCACATGAAAAGGGCAGCAGCGAGGTATCCGTGTCTTTCTTAGTTCTTCTTTCTATCGTGTCTTCTATTGTGTCCTATTCTTATGAAAGATGTTCTGCGTATATACTCAGAGTAAATATATATATATATATATGTATATATATATACGTAGGTGTAGAAATACCTGTATATATATGCATATACATATATGTATATATATATGTGTACATATATGTGTATGTATATATATATATATATATATACATATACATATGTATGTACACATGTAGGTACGTATTTGAATACGGAGTGGGAGACAAAACGCGAGACTTACATAGAGACAGCAACTTTGTTTTCAGAGAAATTATTGCGACGCTGCGTTGCTCTTCACATATCACAACATACATCGTCTCTTAACGAAAGAGAGAAAGCAGGAAAGATAGAATAACAAAAGAGAATCAAAACGAAGACAACTGAAGTGAAGATCTGTACTGAAGTATCTGCGTGTCTCGGGCGTGTAGACGCATATATATATATATATATATATATATATATATATGCATATACATATATACATATATATGTATACATATATATATACATATATATATATATATGTATATATATATGTGTGTATATACATATGTATATATGTAAGTTTATATATATATATATACGGAGATACGTGTTTCTGTAAGTCTAGCTGTGTCTGTATATCTCATTCTGAGTGTATATCTCCCTCTGTTTTCATGTAGGCACAGGAAAAGTGGTGGGGGTCTATGCACATAATTGACGTACAAACAACTACTACAACAGCCTTGTCTATGTGAGATGTTGCGCCTGCATACCTGCTTGCGTATCTGCTCTCTTGGTGAACATATTTATCTATTTCTTTGCCTATTTATCTATCTATCTAGCTATCTATCTCTCTACCTATATGGATATATATGTCTATAGATATGTATATACATGTAGGCTTTATGTATGCGTAAGTGCAGAAAGAAGGTAGTAGCGAGAACTATGACTTCGTTCTTTTCGTATCTGCTTCAGTTACTCCTACATCTCAAATTTCACGTACCTAAACACTGGTGCATATATATATATATATATATATATATGTATAGCTTCTCTACGTTCTCTGCTTTTCTTCTCTTTCTTCTTTTCCACTTCTTCTTCTTCTTCTTCTTCTTCTTCTTCTTTGCTATACGCCTTGTGTCATTGTTTTCTCTCCTTTCTTTTCTATAGGTACATGTATGAATATATACTTACATAAGAAAGTATATGCTGCTTTACCTGCTTCCTCGCTATATACTTATATATATATATATATACATGTATATATATATATATATATATATGTATACTTATATATGTGTAAGCGGTCGATATCTCTTGACGCACCTTGTATATAGTGTATATATATTCGTATATATGCACGTGCATATATATATATACATATAATATATATATACATATATATATATATATATATATATATATATATATGTGTATACGTACAGCATCTCACAACTGCTTGGCTGCTCTATATACAGTGGCATGTGCGCATGTATATATACGCATATACATATATATATATATATACATATATATATATACATATATATATATACATATATATATATATATACTTGTGTGTGCGTACGTGTAGATCGCCACGTGTTCTTCTGATCTACACTAATGTGTATGTGAGATAACACAATAGCAGAACACGGATATCTCTCTGCCTGCTTATTTTTCCGTTATCTCTTTTCGTTCTCTTTTTTTTTCTTCTTCTTCTTCTTCTTCTCCTCCGTCTTCTTCTTTTTCTTCTTTTTCTTTTTCTTTTGCTTCTTCTTCTTCTTCTTCTGCATCGTCTTCGGCTTCGTCCTCGTCTTCTTTTTCTTCCTCTTCCTTTTCCTTCCTTTTCCTTCTTCTTCCTTCCTTCGTTTTGCTCTGCTCCTCATCGTCTCTTCTTGAGAAAGTTTATTTCTTCTTTTTCTTGTTTTTCTTTTTTTTTTCTTCTTCTTCTTCTTCTTCTTCTTCTTCTTCTCATTGTCTCTCTCTGAAGAAGGTCATCTCTTCTTTCTTTCCTTTTTCTTCTTTTTCTTTTTCTTCTCATTGTCTTTCCTTGAGGAAGTTCATCTCTTCCATCTTTTCGTTTTTTTCTTTTTCTTCTTTTTCTTTCTTTTTGGTTCATCTCTTCTTCTTTTTCTTCTTCTTTTTTTCTCTTCCTTTCTTTTTCGTCTATCTCTTCTTTTTCTTCTTTTTCTTTTTCTTCTCGTTGTCTCTCCTTGAGAACGTTATCTCTTCTGTTTTTTTCTTTTTATTCTTTTCCTATCTCTTCTTTTTCTTCTTTTTCTTTTTCTCCTCGTTGTCTCTCCTTGAGAACGTTATCTCTTCTGTTTTTTCTTTTTCTTCTTTTCCTTTTTTTTCTTTTTGGTTCATCTCTTCTTTTTTTTCTTTTTCTTCTCTTCCTTTTCTCTTCTTTTTGATTTATATCTCTTCTTTTTTTTTCTTTTCTTCTTTTCCTTTTCTTTTCTTTTTCGTTTATCTCTTCCTTTTCTTCTTTTTCCTTTTCTGGTCATTGTCTCTCCGTGAGAACATTATCTCTTCTGTTTTTTCTTTTTCTTCTTTTTCTTTTCCTTTTGGTTTATTTTTTTTTCTTTTGCTTCTTTTGCTTCTTCTTCTCGTTGTCTCTCCTTGAAGAATTTCGTCTCCTCTTTTTTTCTTCTTTTTCTTTTTCTTCCTTTTCTTCTTTCTTTTCTTTTGTGCTACAGCGAAATTCGCTCTGCAGACGTCGGACAGCTTGTTTGCGTTACTGGACGCGTCATACGTGCTGGTACGGCAGTCTCTCCTGGTGCTGCTGTTGCTGTTGTTGTTCCTTTTTTTCTTGCTCTTCTGCTCTTTCTTCTTCATCTCCTTCTTCTTCTTCTTCTTCTTCTTCATCACCTTCTTCTTCTTCTTCGTCTTCATCTCCTTCTTCTTCTTCTTCATCACCTTCTTCTTCTTCTTCATCTCCTTCTTCTTCTTCTTCTTCAACTCCTTCTTCTTCTCCTTCTTCTTCTTCTTCTTCTTCTTCTTCCTTTTCGTCTTCTTCTTCTTCTTCTTCTTCATCTTCTTCTGCTTCGTGTTCCTGTTCTTCTTCTGGGGCTGCTTCTTCTTGTTGTTCGTCTTCTTGTTCTTCTTCTGGTGCTTCTTGTTCTTCTCCTTCTTCCTCATCTTCTTAGTTTTTCTTTTTCTTCTTCTCCTGCTTCTTCCGGTTCTTGTTCTTGTTCTTCTGCTGGTTCCTCTGCTGCTGCTTCCTCTTCTTCTTGTTCGTCTTCTTCTTCTTCTTCTTCTTCGTCTTCTTCTTCTTCTTCTGGTCCTTGTTCGTGTTCTTCTTCTGGCTCTTCTGCTGCTTCTTCTTCTTCTTCTTCTTGTTCTTCTTCAGCTTATTCTTGTCCTTCTTGTTCCTCTTCTTCTTCTTCTTCTTCTTCTTCTGCTTCGTCTGCTGCTGCTTCTTCTTGTTCGTTTTCCTGTTCTTCTTCTTCTTCTTCTTCCGCTTCTTCTTCTGCTTCTTCTTACTCTTCTGCTTCTTCTGCTTTTGCTTCTT